ATACATATTGTAATTGGAATGTATATTATTTTCGTGTTCCCAAATTTATCTAGTTCTTAAATTCTTGCTCTTTAAGGCCTGGAGGCCAAAAATAGTCTTGCCTTATAGTATTTGAGGTTCAGACTATTAGGTTTGTGGCACTGCAATAAAATTGTTTCTGCTCCAAAACTAACCCAGGCTAGGAATACACAGGAATAGGAATTTAAATGCCCATAAGGTGCAAACCATAATTTAAAGCCACAGACACGGGACTCCTCTACCACCTAATCTGTAAGCTCCCTTAGATTTAACCCTTTTCTCACCAAACCCAGCAATGCCTATTGGGCATGCCCAGTTGTATGGTTAGAACCTCACACCGAGTTTTACTTTCTCCAGGTTTTACCAGCTGCAAAAGGGAGGAGGAGACAGAGGATGGAGTTAAACAGGTAGAAAACTTGGTTCAAGACAGAGCAAGGAAGGCTGGAGAATGACAAGAGGCTACAGTAAAAAGCACTTTGTCAGACACAGTTCATCTTCGTCTGCAAGTTCGCATCTTACCCTGGTGGGTTCCTTTTGCATCTTTTTGGCACAGCCTAGGCAAGTCACGAAGATTTGTTGTGATTACTCAAGGCAGAGCCACAGTAAGGGGTGGGGCAAGGGACATCGGATATAGGAGAATGCCAGTGCCTGTGTGAGTCCTGCTTGCCCCTGCATTCCTCGAAAAGCTGCAGCTTCTTTTCAAGGGTTCCAAGCAGGAGACCAAGGTGCATAAGTAAAGCCAGAGCTCATCATAATCATCGACTCCTTGGCCCCTTTTCTTTGACTGCTGGGCCCTTTCCTGGCACCCTCTCAGGTATCCCCGCCCAATCACTACTAAACCCCGGAGAAGTGGAATCTCCATACAGCTTTCCATGGGTCTAGCAGGGGCCTGGGCATGCTCAGTAGGCTACGTGGTTCTCTGGTTCGTGTTTGTTCGTTCTCGTTCTCTTTCTCTCTCTCTCCCTCTCTCTCTGTCTCTCTCTTTTCTTTCTTTCTGATGGGGAAGGGAGGGTGGTGACAAGTTAGAAACGCCTGCGGCAGGTCCCCGCCCCCAGGATTAGGCTCCCCCTGCAAGGGGACGATGCAAAGGTAAAAGCACCTTGCTCCGCAGCATCCAGACCTGGAGGGGCTGCGACCACGGGCCGAGCCCACCCATTCCCCAGCCAAAGGACAGGCCCGCCGCTCTCCATGGTACTGCGGAGAGCTCAGCTCCGCCCTTCTCTTTCAGAAGGACAGCACCCGGCGTCACGTAACCCAGCCTTCTCAGGCTCCACCACCGTCTTTTCCTTCCCAGCTCTTTCCCTCTCCTCCCCCTCCTCCTCCTTCTCCTCCTCCTCCTCCTGCTCCCCTCCGTTGCCTGTTCTCCCCTCCCGCACTCCTGGAGATAGACGCTCAAGCCTGACGCCTCTGAAAAGGCAGCAGCAGTCGCCTTATCCATAGACCTCAGGAAATTCGCTTTGACCGATGCATGCTTCAGGCTCCGGCTCAAGCTAAGGGGAATAACCGGGCAGGTAAAGCAGCTCAATTTGGGTTGGGGGGAGGGGATGGGGCGAGGCAAGCTGAAGAAGGATATCTTTCCCCATTGTAACTGAGCCAGGATCTGCCACAAATACACAGGGAAAGATGGGTGGTGGGAGGGTGGAGGAGTGTAGATCTTGGTTGTTTTGCATGAAGCCTTTTAAATAGATGGCAGGAAGATGAGATGGTGGAACTGGGGTAGTAACTTAAAGGCTGAATGCAGTGATTTATTAGCAAAAGAAAGAAAATAACAGACAGGCTAGATATCGAAGCAGTAAAATCCCTCTCTATGTATTTCTTTTCCTACTTCCTCAGCCCCACACTATGCCTATCCTTAATCTGTGCAGTAGACTCCGAGCTCCAAGAAACTGCACTGGTATTAGAGATGGAGCTTAGAGACTGGGCGGGAAAGCCAGAGAGAATTTTGGGTGTGCATTGGTATTGAGGGACTTTGCAAAAGCCAGGGGTGAAATAATAAGCACTTCGAAAATTTCTCTGAGATTTCATGTTTTTTTATGAGGATATATATATCGAACGGTGCATGGACAGGTATAGGGGTGTGTGTGTGTGTATGTGTGTGTGATATCAGAAACATTAAAATATGCAATTGCAGCCGATGAGTGTACTGTATTGATCCTCCTAGAGACTTGGGATGAATTTGATTCTAGAAATGAAAGAAAGGATTAATGATGCTGTTAGTCTGCTTTTGAATTAGAGCGCTTCTTCTTTTGGCTGCAGTAAGGTTGTTTTTCAGATCCCTTTATTTCATCCTCTAATTTGTGAACTCGCCAGGTCTTTCTGGCACCTAGAGAGAATCTTTTCTCCATATAAATACAGATACTCACTCACATACAATGAGCTTCCTCCAAGAACTAGGAAAACCAGTTAACCTCCCTGTGGTAGGAATGTATATATATCTATATGTACATATATATTCCTCTAGGGTTTTTCTCTCTTCCACCATCCCTTAAAATTGTCAAGGTGTGCATTTGTGGAGGAGGGCAGAAGGGACAGGAGAAAAAAGGTTATGTGATCAATGTGACATTAATACAATAATTGGCTCCAGCAGAGTTACACACACAAGCAAAAAAAAAGGTTTTCTAACACATGAGCTTGAGAGTGGGTTCAAAGCACTACTCTTGATCATGACATTCCAGATTTATTTTGCAAATGACTGAAAATTTAGCAGATTCCTGAGTCCACTTAAAATATGAAAGTATACTGAATAATATGCTATTTCAGATGACTTGACGAGCCCTTTTCTTTGGGTTTGATACAGAAGAAGACAAGATATGACTGGTGATTGCTGATGGTGTGGAATGTATCAGCCATAATAAATAAGCAACTGAGATTTTTATTTCCTTTTGCTAGTGGGCAGTGTGTATGTGCGCACACTCGCACAATGTGTGTGTGTGTGTGTGTTGAAAGAGAGAACCAGTCATCAATTTCATCTGGGAGGAACTTGAAGTGGGATCCCCTAGCTTGGTGGCTCTCAGCTGACACCTGTAGGGATTGCTCTGTACTGAAGAGAAATGCTCTCAGCTCCCTCCATGGAGAATCAGCAGCACAATGCGGTGCCATAAATTACTGCTAGTTTCAGCTTGTAGGGGGAAAAAAGTGTTAATTGGATAGTCAACTTCCACGTCCAGACAATAAATTTGGGGTGTGTGTTTGTGTGTTTGTGTGCATGTGTGTATGATGTATGTATATTGTAGTGTGTGTGTGTTTGCAAGGGGGGGATATAAGAAATAGAAAAATAATGCACTTCCTTGACATGAACAGATTATACATTTGTAATTTTTTTCAAAAGGTAAGAATAATTTTTTGGTTAAAAAATGACTTAGAAAGAAATCAGTGTTTATGATTTCTGTACTATTTCAAGAGCCTGTCAGATTAGAGTTGAATAAAGAGAAGTGATTTAATAGTATAGTGAGTGATTCAAAGGTATGGTTTTAAATTCTAGCATCCTGGAGCCATTGCAGCTGAGATGACATACATGCCAACTGCTGTTCTGACCACACAAATTGTGAGGGCTGACAGCCAGATACAGACTTCAGGAGGAGTTGGATCTACACTATTAGGCAAAGTATTAAGTACTTTATGCACCTTTAGATAAGTTAATATTAGGGCAATTGAGACAATGCCAAAAACATAAACCTGGCTCCAATTAGTGGTTTTCTTTTACAACAGATTATTCCTTTAATATAAAGGAGAACTATATTGTGTGAAATTTTGCAAGAGACTACCAAGAAACCATCAATATTCCTTCTAAGAAAAATAAAATGGGAGGAATGCTATACAAGTCTAAGCTGGCAGTTTCCTGCCAACAGTTTAATCTAATTTGCCAATTGTAAAATCTATTAACTGAGATTTGAATAGGCTGTATTTTTACTGTCTATAGAACAAGCACACAACATAAGTAGAAATCTTTAAAAACATTTTTTTCTCTACTCACATGTTTTAAAAATTAAACTATCTTACAAAAAGAAAAGGATAACAGTAATCAAATTTCTCTTTAAAACTTCGAGTTACCAACTAAGTTATAATAAACTACAAGGGTGTCATGGCTGACTGTAAAATTGTGATATTAACAATTAGAAAATATTAGGACTTACTTGTAGTGATGATCAAAAAAAAAAAAAAAAACAAAGCTCCATACAAGAAGGTTAACTCTTTGGCATACTAATAGGACCAGGTCTGCACCTGTGTTATGAGCTGAATAAGGATTTATATAATACTATATTGACTTTAGATCTTAATTTTGACTTTAATTCTCTGCAGATATCTGGGTCCTTAAAAAAGACAAGATACAAGCAAAGTGCATCACCAACACACAGCCAATTGATGTGCTGTCATCTTAGTTTGGCCCTGCAGAGGCGGAGAGAAAAGAAGAGGAGCTGTTCCGATTTCCACATCTAACAGCTTCTGGCTATTTCGCAACTGCTGGGTTTGAGTCCTACTGTTGCTGTGGTTGAAAAGAAAAGTAAAATCCAACTTGTGAGACCATGCACAAGGAATTAGGCTTGGTTGCAGCGGTGCTGAAGCCCATGCTATGACAGAAGAAGCTGGCCTTTGAACCTATCCTCGGGTTAGGAAGTGGTGCCCAAAGAGGCAAGCGTCCCTTTCTCCGTTCTGCTTTAAGACAACACATCTGAAGGAGACACACTTGAGGCACTCACAAGCATCCAAGGATACTGGCTCACTGCTGGTTTCCTGCACTTTCTAGAGAAAAGTGTTTGCTTTTTATTGACTCTCACTGCTTCCTTTTGGCCTGGTACCACTGGTGGAACCTGGCAGATAATGGGATTTGAGGAGTTAAGTATCTGTTAACACCACAGATGCTCTTAAATTAGTTAATCAGACTCAAATGGGTCAGTGCTTTCCCTTGATCTTTTGTTGAAGCCTTTTCCAGAACGTTGCCTCCAAAGTGCATCCTCCCTTTGGTCTGGAAGTTCTGTGGCTACCCTGTACCACTGGGGTCAACGTTTTCCAGTTGGAAGAGGACTACAGGGAGAGAGGGAGGGGTTATTGGAAGAAGAAGAAGAAAAAAAGAACTAAATAAAGGCGGGCACATCCGTCCCACTCCCGCCTTTCCCCTTACCTTTCAGTGTCTCGGGACCCTTATTTCTTCGTCACGGTGTCCAGGACCATTTTGACCCTGTCGGCCCCGGCACCCCCCCGCCGCACCCCAGCCCCGAGCATGGGGACGGCGCTGCTTCAGCGCGGGGGCTGCTTTCTTCTGTGCCTCTCGCTGCTGCTCCTGGGCTGCTGGGCGGAGCTGGGCAGCGGGCTGGAGTTTCCGGGAGCCGAGGGCCAATGGACGCGCTTCCCCAAGTGGAACGCCTGCTGCGAGAGCGAGATGAGCTTCCAGCTCAAGACGCGCAGCGCCCGCGGCCTCGTGCTCTACTTCGACGACGAGGGCTTCTGCGACTTCCTAGAGCTGATCCTGACGCGCGGCGGCCGCCTGCAGCTCAGCTTCTCCATCTTCTGCGCTGAGCCCGCGACGCTCCTGGCCGACACCCCGGTTAACGACGGCGCCTGGCACAGCGTGCGCATCCGCCGCCAGTTCCGCAACACCACGCTCTTCATCGACCAGGTGGAGGCCAAGTGGGTGGAGGTCAAGTCCAAGCGCAGGGACATGACGGTGTTCAGCGGCCTTTTCGTCGGGGGGCTGCCCCCGGAACTGCGCGCCGCTGCGCTCAAGCTCACCCTGGCCTCCGTGAGGGAGCGGGAGCCCTTTAAAGGGTGGATTCGTGACGTGAGGGTCAACTCCTCACAGGTCCTGCCCGTGGACAGCGGCGAGGTGAAGCTGGACGACGAGCCGCCCAACAGCGGTGGGGGAAGCCCGTGCGAAGCGGGCGAGGAGGGCGAGGGCGGGGTGTGCCTCAACGGAGGCGTGTGCTCCGTGGTGGACGACCAGGCCGTGTGCGACTGCTCGCGAACCGGCTTCCGCGGCAAGGACTGCAGCCAAGGTAAGGCCCGACGCCCGACCCGCGGGGGCCGGGGCCTGGGCAGGGCGCGGGGAGGAAGGGGGCCGGGCTGGTGCATGGGGTCTTCCTAATCTGGCCAAACGTGTGGCAGTGCGCTTCGAGGGAAAGGCCTTGTTTCTGGGGGCCTCTCTACCTTACTCCCTCCACAGCTTCTCCCTTGACATCCTCGTAAAGGTTGGGCAGTCCCCACTTCCAAGTTTGAGTTCCTCCTGGAGACCTTTCTACCAACACTACTCCCTTCCAAGTGGCAAATACAATGGCCTCTTCTCATTCCTCGGATTCTTTGGCAGGTTGGGCCCTATATTTATTGGACCGCGACCCACCTGTATGACCGCTGTCCTTGTCTTTACCACTTCTACATCTGTAGCACACAGACTTTGCCCTTAAGATGCAAAGAAGCATCTAGAAGATTGGGCATCCGTTTGATGAGAAGTAAAGCACAGGAGAGGTTTGCCACGGCCGTGGTTGAGAATCCCCACGTGGTTGTGATCACTCGTGGTAAAGGACGAGAAAGACAGGATTCACAGGCAGTGCTATGCCTTTTGCAGATAGAGCGGTAAAAACCTGCTTTTGGTCGTGGAAAAAGGGGAAGAGAGGATGTGAAGAGTTTCTTCATTAGCAGGAGGCTTTTTGGAATAATATTGGTTTCCACGGTTATATCCAAGTCCAACATTTGTCAAATTTAAGTAAAATTTTGTCATTTCTGTGGTTTCTTGAAGTGTGAGACAGGTCAGCTGACGTTTAAACATGTTAGAGATTAAATAACATTTCTTAATTAACAAATGCCTTATAAAGAGAAATAGAGTGGTAGAGAAATTTAGATGTTGCTGAATTGGGAAGCTGCTGCAGACTAATAAACAGGGATGCGTGTAAGGGATTGCAAGAGATTTTCTAAGGATATTCGGCTAATGACATTTATCTGGGTAGTGGAGGCCAAGTTGTAATTTCTGTGGTTCTTGGGGCTTAAAACAGTGTGGCATTAAACAACAAAAATCATACCTAAGTTCTGTTTTCTCCCCTTTAAAAATAAAATTCAGTCTTCAGTGTGTTTTTTCGGTGTTGTTACATGACAATGACCAAGGAAAATATTGTTGTATAAATACAGCAAAGCCTCTGAGCAGAAAGTGAGTGAATGATGTGAAAAAGATGAATCAGTGGCTAAGCAGGAGATGTCAGGATTTAAGGTGGATAGCTTAAGGGTCAAAGCAAGGCAATCAACACATGGATAAGTGACATTTGTGGCTGAAATAGGTGGGAAAAAAAGGTGAATTATTAAATCTGATTTCGAAAGCTATAGGGACAAAAGCTCTATGTGTGGCTGCGTTTTATTGTATAATGTCTTTGTTTTTTGCTGACACTGCTAAGGGGAACTAGCCTTTGTAAATCTTATTAGAGTTGGCAGTTCTCTCTCACTTGACTTTAAGAGAAATGAAGACTTGATAAGATTAGTAATTGTTTAAACAGCAAGGAGAGTTAGTTAGGAAGAAAAAAATACTGGTCTTTAGGAGACTTCTGTAGCCTTCACAGGATTAGGAGGAGGGGAAGAAGGAAAGGGCTATTTTATTGCGCTCTGTCTTCATGTGAGTTTTTGTTTTTCATTATATTTTAGCTTAGGTAATTATAGAAAACTGTATTCCATGGCCTATACAGCACTTCAGCTTTAACAGTACATTTCTGTGGTTATAAGAGCAGGCTTTACAGTTATGTTTTACGAAATAAAAAAGATCATTTTTTTCTTCTAGCAAATCTAATTGTGAATCATGAATAAGATGCTGGGTAGATATGATAATTTCCATACTATAATTTGGAGTTGCATACTTTTGCATTGATTAATAAAAACAAATTTAAAAATGAACATTATTTTGTGGGAAAATTGCCCTAAGTATCCTAATGCCACTTTAAAATACAGAGAAGGCAATTTAATGAAGGACACACGAAATGTAGCTTCCTTCCTTAAATTAGGAAACAAATATGACACAATGACAGCTTGTACTATGTGGGAGGGTGTTTTAAATGAAAATTTTTATTTTTCTGTGCATTTTTAATGTAGGGATTCAGAGATCATGCATAATCAGGAACAGTTAAGAGTGGAAAAAGTAATTTGTTAAAGAGGAGCAGAATTTGATATATCTGAAATGCATTTTATTTTGCAAATGGATAGCTCTTTCTATAAGATAAAGAACTTGGAATTACCAAGATGCATAATTGAACAGTATAGTGCCTGGGTACATAGGATAATTCAACTCAGAATAGCAAATCCATTAGGATTCTTCTGAAGCATTGAGTCATTTTGAAAATTTGAACTGAAAACGGAGTGCAAAAGATCACCACTAAACGTAGAAGGAAAACAAAAGGTTGGATTATTTTGAGTAGCACAGAATTGGGAGATGGAGTGATAAAGGCAGAGTCAGTCTTCCTAGAAGGATTGGCTCCATTTTGCTTATTTTCCCTATTTCATGTGTGTCAAGTGACTATTGAATAATTAATTGAGAATGGATGCCTCTCCCAAAACAGATCATGTATTAATGGCGAGGGATAGATGATTTCTGTTCAGATGAAATATCAACAAAGCTTTGCCTGTAGCCAGTATTTACACTGTCATGTTCTTCATAAAAACTAATTTTAAAATAAATAAGTTCACATTCATTAAGAGAAAATTTAGGCAAAAAAACAGACAAGTAAATATTAAACATAAACTCAGTTTATCTCTGGTCCCAACTATAATTCTTTTAAAACTTTAACACCATTTAACTGCCTTCATATTTAAAATACAATAAGAACTACTAATAATTAATACTATTATAAGATAGTAAAAACATTCTCTGTCCCCCAGCCTCCAGCCAAGAGTGCCTTGAAACAACTTATGCACCTGTGAATTTCCAGAATATTTTTATTGAATGAGCTCAATTTCATCCTGGCTTTGTGTTCGAGCCTAGCAAGTTTTATTTATTTATGTATTGATAGAGAATCCAGTAAAGGTTATGTGTCATGACCAGGTTAGTGGCAGAACCTGGGTAAGAGTATAAACACTTTTATTTGTTCCCAAACCCTTTTTCATCATGTCTGGCAAATAAGATTTCCAGTTCATTCGGGTTGAAATTATTTTTCAGGTTCAGGTGTTATTCAAGGGGAAAAAAAAAAAAAACATATCAAAATGGCTGATAGAACAAAACTAATTTATGCATCACTTATGTTCTTTGACCCTGAGCATCAGCCTCAGAACTCAACTAAGCAAAAATGTCACCTTTCCTGAATAATGAATGCTCATGGGGTACATAGCTTTTTCATATTCATTTCATTTAAGTGCCTGGACCATTTATGATCTCATCTAAATGACCTTGAACATTATTTCTACTTAAGAGCACTCATAGATCCCTAGCACCTTGAAAGAATTAGTGAATTTCATAGCTATCCAGTTTAAAAACAAGAATAACAAGGACAATCAATAAGAAATTAAGTTATATTTCTCATGATTTCCAGATCCCCAGGTCTCGTGCATTTTAGAGTCATGTGTATTAAAATCCCACACTGGACTGTTTCACTTTTTTGCATGTTCTCTATTTAAATGGCCATAGACACATATGGCTTCTGCTTATTGTTTAATGTTACTGAACATGTCAGTATGATAGATGTGACTTAAGAAAGCTCCTGCTTTCCATTACTTTTTTAATGTGACCACATAGGCAACCACCTTTACTCATTCATTCATTTGTTTATTCATTCATTTGTTTATAAATTTCTTTATTCAACAAGTACTGATTAAGTGTTTTGTGTACCAGAGTACTAGGCTTATGCGATAAAATGGTAGTGCAGAAATAATTATTACTTTCATAGGCTGCATATTCTAGTGAGAAGGCATAGTGACTTTAAAAAAAATGAAGCTTAAAATTGTGGTATGTATTTTGAAGGATGGGTGCATGGTACTGTGAAAACTTAAAATAGTGTGAGCTGACCTAATAAAAAGTGATTATTAAACTGAAATCTGAAAATGTAAGAAAGAATTAACCAAATTAAGGCAGAGGAAAAGTATTAATCAGGTAAAGCCCAGAGGAACAGAATTATGATGCAGGAGATGGCACTGCATGTTCAAGCCACCGAGAGAATGCCTTAAGCATGGAGCTCTAACTCCATACTTGAGAGGGATGGGGTCAGGTGGTGCATAGCCTTCTGGACCATGTCAAGTATTTTTGTCTTTACTGTAAAAGTGATAAAATAGTAATGGAAAGAATGTAGTGTGAATGGTAGGGAGGGAGATGGCATTATCACGTTTATATTTCCAAAATGCCACTCTGGCTACAATGTAGAGAACAGATTGAAAGGGGGCCAGGGAAAAAGAGAAAACATTATTTTCTGTTTGTCAGTCAACATCATTTGTTAAGCACCCACAGTAAGCTGTAGATTAAACTAGGGGAAAAAATACAGTTCTTTCTTGAAGGAAGTTAAAGTCATCATGGGTTTGGTTAGGTATAGAAATAAATGTAAGGCTGTTGATTGTTCAGAACACTTTGGTTCTTCCTGTGAAAAGCATTACCTGAACCCTTTATGTGGGTTGTAATGTGGTTTCCTGCAGATAAACCCATTGAATCTGTGGGTCTTTGGAACCCAGGGGCAGTGCCACACTTTATAGTATACCCCCAAGTACTTTGCTCAACATGTTTTAGTGACAAAATGTATTTGTTGTTTGAATCAACATTGTAACTACTACAATAAAGGACAATATTTTGTAGCTGCTTGTAATCTTTGTAAGATTGTTTTCATTTAAGTAATTATATAAGTAGATACTGGACAAAAATGATTCAGAGATTTTGCCACAGTTTTGTTTGAAGTCTGCCATTGTAGGAAAGGATGGTGTGTTGAGAAAGCTCTGAGTCACAGAAACTCATCAGTAGTTTCTAGAGGAAACATTCTGGGAAACTCTTAAAGTATGACAGTGAAAGGCATCTGTTTATTAAAAAGTTTATTTTGACTATGAGGTAATAATC